GCCTGCACTCACATGCACACACACACCTCCTCTACCACGGCCATGCCATCTGGAATCTGTCTGTTCCTTCTAGCAGACATCGATTAGAGGCTGCCAAGCCACTGTAGAAACGTCCCCTCCTCCGACGCCTGGGAACACAGGATGGCAGCACCTGCCTCTTGTTTTTGATATCATAGGTGCATAAACAGATTACGTGGCCCAAAGTGAGGGTATGCATACTGATTTGCCACAGAGCCGCAGTCCCAAGGCCATGGGAGAGTGCACCAACTGAGCCCCTCCCACACTGGGGTGATGCAGCCCTGTCTCTCCTGGCTGGGTTCCTCCCTATCTCCCCAGGTCAGGACCAGGGCAAGGCAGATCCAAGAGCCCATCTGGTTATGATTTTAGGGACTGGGGCCAGGCAGGGTCTAATCTGCCCCACAGCAGGACCTTGGGTCAGGAAATGACCCAGAGGTGGCCTGGTGGGACCTTTCAGGGCAGAGCAATTGGATTTACAACCAGGCTGGCCCTTGGCATCCGCATGAGCCTGGTCACTCCAGAAGACCCTCAAAGGTGCAATGGCAGAGAGATGAGAGCCCCAGGCTTTAGAGGAATCACATTGAGAGGATTTACCCAAAACCATGCTGGCCCACAGGCAGGAAGAATGGGCTCAGCCCTCCTTGCATTGCTCAGGCCCCCAGGAGGGGACAGGAGACTTTCCAGTTTTTATTCCCAAATGAAGAAAGAGAAAGGGGTGGCCTGCTAGGGCTACAAAGATTCCAAGATTATGTGAGGAGTGAGGAAGGAATAAAGTGGGGGGGGGGCAGAGCAGCCACACAGGTGTGAAAAGAGAAGGAGAGAAAGGGGATATGAGGAGTAGGGGGAGGGGCGGGTGGCCACTTCCCTCTCTTTCTCAGCCTGGATCCACCACAGACACCTTTCTCATTCAGTGTCTGGGGACTGAGCCAGGGAGGAGGACAGAAGAGGGCAGCCTCAGGAGCCAATCATCACAAACCATCACCTGCCCAGAAACTTGGGCCAAAGCCCCTTCCCCTACCTTTGGGACAGCTTGACCCTGCCCAGGGAAGAAAGCCACCCAGCTGCCATGTAGAAGGCTAGCTAGCACCCCACACCCAGCCCCTGCACACTAGGCTTGTCATAGCTGCCTCCCTTCCCTCCTGGATTGGTTACAGGCATCCCTCAGAGGAGAAGTGCACCTGCCCTCCTGACCCACTTCAATCCCCTCTGGTGGCTCAGGTACAACATCACAGGAGACACTTGCTGTGACACTGACCAGCAGCAGCTCCTGGATGGGTTAGCAGCCCTGCACCTCCTGCCCCCACTTCTGCAGACAGGCGCAGGCCAGACCGCCACAGGTCTGCCCAGGTGGAGACCCCTCTGCCCGATAGCCCTGGTTGCCCCCACCCCCTCCCTGCCAGTCTGGGCATGTTTATGAGCCCAGAATCTGCAAACCCAGGACCACTCTGAAGGCTGTGACTCGTATATCTGCACAAATTACATTTCTGCTTTTATTAGTCCCAGATCACTCTCATTTCCTGCTGAGTGTCCTGTGGATATCATTAACATTTCTACAGCTTTTTTATTTTTTATTTTTTTCACATTCTCCAAAATGCATTACCAGAAACATTATTTAAAGAGAGAGGACAGAGAGAGAAGAAGAGGGAGGAGGGTGCTATCACCAGTGTCCCCTCCCTGCCTGCCCCCTGTTTAATCGGTCCAGCTGCTGTGTCTTTTAATTTAGCCGAGCCGCATAACAGGCAGGCTTTCCAACACACAGGAGCAGCTGGATGCGGTGAGAGCATCTATCTCTAAGAAAAGACAGTTCAATTAAAATACGAGAAGCTCAGTGCCTGATGGAGAAAGCAGGCAAAATGCTCACCCCAGCAGCACCCTCCAACCCCAGCAGAGGGAGGGAAGCAGGAACAAAGGCCCAGGCTGCTGCTCAGAGCCACCAGGTCCTGCCAGAGAAAATGGGGCCTGCCTCTTTAAGGGCTGCCTCAGGCCCGCCTGGGCTCTGTTGTTATTAATTATTATGATTATGATTACTTTTCAAGAGCACCAGGAAAGGACATAGAGGGGGAGAGGAAGGCATCAGAAGAAGAGGGGGTTGAAAAAGGCCCCCTTGCCAGAGGTCACCTTTGAACCTAAGTGGGAGAGTAGCCAAAGGGGCAGGGTGTAGGTTTAGTCTCTGGCTTAGGCTGGATGGAGAAGGGGTGGGGGAGGACACCTCCTCTCACTAGACTCCCTGGGTCCAGCCCACCTCTTGCCTCAAGGGTCCTTCCTCGCCCCTACCCCTCTTCCCAGATACTGGTCCAGACCTTATCTCTAAAGTTCTTGCTGAAACCAGATGGCAGGTGGGAGGGCAGGAAGGAAGAAGTCCCAGGCATCCTCTAAGCACCAGACACAAGGACACTTGAGCCTTAGAGCCACCTGGCCAAGTGAGTTTTCTGCGCCCCAACATGAGAGGAGTGTGAGCTCAGCCCATTGTACCCAGGGTCCCAGGACTTTCCTGACCTCACCCACCAAACTTCTGCATAACCAAAAAATAGTAAGGGAGGCAAGGAAGCAAAGGATGGGGATCCCAGGAGATCCCCCTCTAGTCTGAGCCCAGCAGCTAGACCCAGGGCACAGCCCTTCTGTCAGGCAAAGAGCCCCCATCCCTGTTTTGCCCCTCTTACAAAAGAAAGTGAGGTTCAGAGGAGCAAGGGACCTGCTGAGGACCCCAGGACAGAGCCACACCAAAGTTCCTCCATAGGACGCTGAACAGCTGCAGTGACCAGACCAAGAGGGGACAACCCCTTGCCTGGACTCCATGCCAAGAATCCCCATTTTACAAGCAGGTACCCTGGGGCAGACCAGGAAGACAGAGGTACTGTGGGGTAATCCACACAGGGCCCTCACTTCTATCCTTATCTTCATTTTTTTAAGCAGCCAGGCCCACCTTGGATAGGTCCACCCATAGGTCATGATAGGCACTAGCCAACTGCTGTCATCACAGCAACTACTGTTCCCTGGGAAGCCTCAGGGAGAGGTCCCTGAGCCCAAAGTCTCTCCAGATTCCAGGTTGGGCCCCAGTCAAGGAAATGGACACATGTGGCCAGAGCTGCTGCAGCTCCCTGGGCCCTAAGGGAGCCCAGCTGGGAGGCACTGGCTGGGAGTTTTTTCCTCAGAGAGGACACAAGGAGGGGGAGAGAGAGGAGAGGAAGAGGAAGAGAGAGAAATGGAGGGGGGAGTGTTCTGCTCCTGGCCAGTGGCTATAGCTCTGAGGCCCACGGTGCCTCCCTGCTACTTACCTAAGGTGTTTTATCACCCTTTTCCTGATTTGTAGCTGCAGGGAGAAGAATTAAAAACCCAACTCACTCAAAGCCTAGGAACCTGGAGAACAAAGAGGAATGTACCAGGCCTCAGGAGGCTGGGGAAAGGGCGAAGGGATAGCCTACAAGGAGTGTAGAAGGTGGAACCACCTCTGGCCTACTCATCTGCTGTGGGTGATGAGTAAAGATATGAGACCCTGATTAAAAGGCTAAACACCAGCTAGATTCACTCCTGCCCTACGGGGTCCATTCTGTGTCCTCAGGGCCTAGCTTGAATGGGAGGAAGGGATGAGTCTCCAAGGGATCCACAGAACAGGCCTCTGGGGCAGGTTAGTGTCCATGGGCCAGCAGAGAAGAAGGAGCTAAGCAGGAGCTTGTCAGGAGAGGCTGGCTTGGGAAGCAGAGGGGACCATTTTGGGACATAAGGGACCCCAGAGGACAAGACAGCCCCTACCCCAACACACAGCCTTTCTAGAAAAGCTTCTTTCTAAAAGTTAACTGCCCCTTGGCTCAGTGCCCACGACTCAGTGGTTAGGGCGCTAGCCATATACACCAAGGCTGAAGGATTTGAACCCGGCCCAGGCCTGCTAAACAACGACAACTTAACAATAATAAAATTGCTGGGCATTGTGGCAGGCGCCTGTAGTCCCAGCTACTTGGGAGGCTGAGGCAAGAGAATCACTTAAGCCCAAGAATTTGAGATTGCTGTGAGCTGTGATGCCACGGCACCCTACCAAGGGTGACATAGCAAGAATCCATCTCAAAAAATTAAAAAAAAAAGTTAACTGCTGGCTCGGCGCCTGTGGCTCAAGCAGCTAAGGTGCCAGCCACATACACCTGAGCTGGCGGGTTTGAATACAGCCAGGGCCCGCCAAACAACAATGATGGCTGCAACCAAAAAATAGCCAGGCGTTGCGGTGAGTGCCTGTAGTCCCAGCTACTTGGGAGGCGGAGGCAGGAGACTCGCTTGAGCCTGAGGTTGCTGTGAGCTATGATGACCTCTACCCAGGGCAACAGCTTAAGACTGTCTCAAAAAAAAAAAAAAAAAAAAAAAGAGGCTGTGGGGAGAAAAATAGGGGGCCCCAGCACCCCTTCCTGGTTGAGCCTAGGGACCCCTGGTGAGGCTGAGGGGCTCAGGGCTCTTTGGAGGGTGTCTGATTGGGAAGCAAAAGCTCTGGACTTTCTAGGCATTTGGTAAGCCCCCCCATGAAGCCCACCAACGCTGTTTCCTCTAGGGACCCAGAAGTGATGGCAGCTGAGACCTACTACACTGAGCCACTTGGATGAGACCCTCCTCGTAAGGCCTAACCCACCAAGAGGACACTACACCCACCTGCTCTCCCCTGGACACCGTGTGTGTCCGGTGCTGTGAGAGGTTCCCTGACGCTAAGTTGTGTCTCGCTTTAGCCCCCTCACCCAGTGCCCATGCCTGGTATGCATGTGTCCATGACCCAGAGATCCTGGCCATAGTGTAGGGCCAAGGGCAGACTTGTGAGGTGTGTGCCAGTGAGAAGAGGTTCGGCACAGCTGCCGGCATTCAGGGTCCTCCTGGGGGAGGCTGTCAGGAACACAGTCTGCCTTTTAGCACCTTTGTACTTATCAGTATCTTGTGGACAATTACTTTTTTCCAATCACTTTATTCACTATTGAACAAAAAGCATCACCACCTCTCTCTGTCTCTATCAAAATGAGGAAAAGAAGGTGGGGGCACCTGGATGCAGATAGCTAAGAGGGCTGGGGTGTGATGGCCCAGGCAGTCCTGAGTGCCCCTTACACCCTCCCCTTATTTCTTCTCCATAGCACTTACCTTCTTGCAGTAAACCCTGACATGCTTTTATTATTGGTCACTACTCTTTAGAAGGTAAGTTCCATGCCAGCAGAGGCTCTTGTTCTAAAGAGAAGAGCCCAATTGGCCAGAACAGTAAATATGTGTTGAATGAACAGTTCAATTCATGTAGTAAGCCCATGAAAATATCCAGGACAACCAGTGAGATGGAGGTACAGAGCATGCTGCAGCGGGGGGTGGGGGGTGAGGGGTGGCAGCCACAGCACCACTTCACTCATTTGACAAACGACACCTCCCCGAGGCCAGCAGGTGATGCTCCTGGGTGTGGGTGCATGCAGCAGCCCCATCAGCTCCAGCACTCAGATGCTGTGCAAGAAGGGGTGTCAGAGTTTCTGAGGGTTTTACTTTAGAAAGCAGGTATCAGTGGGAGGCCAATGCAGGTGGATTGCCTGAGTTCACAGGTTCGAGACCAGCTTGGGCCAGAGCAAGACCTCATTTCTAAAAACAGTCCCAGCTACTTGGGAGGCTGAGGCAAGAGAATTGCTTGAGCCCAAGAAGTTTAAGGTTGCTGTGAGCTGTGATGCCAGGGTACTATACCGAAGGCCACAAAGTGAGACGCTGTCTCAAAAAAAAAAAAAAAAAAAAAAAAGTTAACCAAGCAAAAATAAACACTCCAGAGTTCAAGAGAACCTGTCCATGGCTGTATTTCATCATAAACTCCTGGGTGTCAAACGCTGATGCAGACAGGACTTTGCATGGGCAGTGGCACAGCTTTGTTGGGTGAGAATTTGGGTACCTAGTGGGTGCTCAGTGGCACAAGGTAGTTGCTCAATGTGAAGTACTGAGAGCAGGACGAGCATCCAGGATGTTCCTTGGTCCCAGGAGGAACTCTGGGTCCAGCATAAAGCAGTTAAAGCCCTGGTGGAGCCCATTTCTGCTCACCTTTGGTGGAGGTGGGGGTGGGGAAGCTGCATGGCCCCTGCTCTCCAAAGGCAGACAGACACACAGATGACTGCTGTGGTGTCCTTGAGATGAAGTGATACCCAAGGGGCCATGGAGGGCGGGGTGAGGAAGTGATTGGGGGAGGCTTCACCATTTGAGAAGGGGGTGAAGTGGATGAAAGCAGCAGCCCGGGTGAGGGTGGAAGGCAGCAAAGAGCAGGTGGGGGCAACTGCATACTTCCCACCTCTGCCCAAATCTCTAGGTCTTATCCCTTTTAGGTGGCGTGGCTGCTGCAGCCAGCAATCAATGTCCTCTGTCCTCATGGCACCAATTCCTGGCAATCCTACAAAGTCACTCCCATCAGTCAGCTGTCTGCGTCACGCCCCCTGGATGGCCACTCTCCTGGGTGCCTCTGGGGCCCACTAGTGTGAGGCCCAAAGGAGAGGTGCCTCTGCCAGGCTTCCACATGGTGTGGCCACAGCCCCCTCCTGGCCATGAAGACTAGCTGCTGAGAGCAGTGAGCCCCTAGAAGCCACCTTCTGTAAAGCACATTCTAGGTCAAAGCTCCCCCTGGCTCTGTAGAGGGATTAAAGAAAGCCCAGAGAGAACCAGTGACTTATCCTGGGGACAGCGGACCCCTCTACAGTTCTGTGCCTCAGAAGGGCCTGTCAAACAGGAAGGGGAGACAAAGTCTTCTGTGACACCCCAACTTCCCCTAGGAGTCAGGGGAATGTGGTGCCCTTCCCAGCCTATGCAGAGCCACCCCGGGCCTCCCGGCCAGGAACACCCTGGGCTGCAGTCACCCTGACAGCCAGGGAGGCCCCCTGAAGAACAGCCCCTCCCAGCGCTGTTCCACCTGGGGGAGCCAGGGAATTGGCACCCCTCCCTCCCCAGCCCCCAAGGGAGGAAGCAGCCTGTCACGCCGCCACGGCGTGTCAAATCCCCTTTCTGCCTAATTGTGAGACGGCAGCGTTTAAAGAAACCCTTTTCTGGCCGCCTGCCACACCACAAACTGCTTGGTATAATTTTATTATTAAGGAGAGAGAAAAAGAGGGAGGGAGTGGAAGGGAGAGCAAGCGAGAGGGAGAAAGGGGAGAGAGGAGGAAATTGCTTGGTCCAAGTCAGCTGGTGGAGTATTCTGCTCAATGCGAGAGCGGCCGGCTTTCCAGTTGGCAAGCTGACTCCGTTAATTGCGCATTCAGTCTCTACTTAGGGTAATTGAAACAAAGCGGGGCCGGCTCTGACAATTAGGGTCTGCGACTAGGCCGTTAACTCTTTCCGCAGCCGCCCTCACCCGCCCTAGGCGCCACGGCGCCCTTTCAGGTGGAGGAGGACTACGGGGCGCCCCGAGAGGGCCCACCCCCGACCCGGCGGCGCGCACTGCGGCAGCTCCCGGCGTGCGACCCAGTGCCAGCAGGGTTAACGCGGCGCCGCGAGGCCTGGAGCCCAGCTAGGGCCAAGCCGAGGATGGGGGAGCCGCGCGGGGCGTGGGGGAGTTGTTTGCGGCCTCTCCGCCCCTCTGCAACAGATGTTTCAGCTGTGTAAGACAAAGGCTGAGCGCCTGCTGCTGCCGGGAGAAAATCCGCAGGACTCCCTCAGGGGCAGGTAAAATTTCACCTTCTATTTGTGTTGCCCCCTCACCCTCGCTCGCCCCCGCCTTGTTTCCCGGCCTCTGCGCCAATCCGGAAAGCGCCACCAAAGACGCCGCGCCACCTCCTCCGCAGCCCAACCCGCTGACCCCAGCAAGGTCACCATGACCTCGGGCCCCGCCAGCAGCGTGCCTGCCGGTCCTCCGCCGGCAAAGGGCGCCCCCCCCCCCGCGCCGCTCCCCTCCTGGGCGCCCCCCGAACGCGATCCACTGTCACTGAAAGTGCCGGGAGGGCGAAGAAGGGGGCGCTGCACTTGCTACGCAACGGAAGCGGCCCTGGATGCTCCCCTCCTCCCTCCGCCTGTGCGGGGACCCCGGGAGGCCGCGACCCCCCCCCCGCCCCAATCATTCATCTCCCTGATTCCCTCTGTAGCCGCCCTCGGAAGTCAGCCGAGTGAAGCAGCTGTTCTTTGCACACTCCACTTGACCAAAGATGATGATAAATGAGGCCGGGGCTGTGTCGGGGACGCGGCGGCGGCGGGGGGCGCGCAGGGCGGGGCGTACGGGCCGCAGCCCCTTCCTCACGCCTCGGGAAGGGCGAGGACGCGAAGGACAGGCCGAAAGGCAAAATCAAAGGACCGCGCTGCCCTCCCGGCGCCCGGCGAGGCCCTGGTACCCAGCGGTGTGGAGGGACCGAGGGGAGAGGTGCGTCCAGATCTCCGGGCCAAAGATCAAGTCCTCCTCTTCCCTGCGACCACCGCAGCCCCGCCCCTTCTCTAAGCCCTGCTTCCCCTACAGCCTGAGTTCCCGCTGCGCCCTCAGCCCCTCCACCCCTGTGCCTCAAACCTATTAACGGTCGTAAATAATAAATAATGGAGCGCTTCCCTCCAGCCTCTCGAGGCTGCGGGCGGGGACCGCTGACAGATGCGCCCCATCCTGGGGTGGGGACGCCCACCGGCCGGGTGAAGAGGGGCCGGGGTGCGCGGCCCCGTACACGTGCAGCCGCGGCGCGCAGGCGGGCACTCCGCCCGGCGGAGGAGGGGGAATCCCGCTCTGCCCTCCCCAACGCCACCTCCCCTGGAGTCCTCTGGCACCGAACGAGGCGAGAGAGCGCGCGCGAGCTTCCCAGCCGGAGAGTGTTATTTTTAACCTGCCCCCCTTTCTATATCTGCCTCTCGGGTTTGCGCGCGCGTCCGCCCGCCCGCCCGCTCCACCAGCCTAGGACGTGGGCTCCTCACCTCGCTCGGCGGCTCCGGACTCTGAGTGCCTCGCCCGGCCCGCGGCCCCCGCCCTTGTGCGGGCATCGCGCGGCTAAATCTCAGCCTGGAAAGGACCGATTAGGAGCCGCGTGCCTTTCTGCGAAATATTGGAACCGGGTGGGATGGGGGCGGGGAGCCCGGCGCTGTCGTCCCCTCGCTTCCCTCTCTCCCTCCCACCCCGCGCGGAGTGGCTGCAAGAGGCGGCTCCTGCTCTACCCTTTGCAAAAAGGGGGCGGCCGGCTCGGGCCGCGAACCCTCCTTTGGTTTTCAGCCTTCTCTCAACGCCCACCCTTTTTCAGTCATCTACGAAGCTGGAGCTTCTAACACGCGGACCCTCTGGCGCCAAGTGGGGCGCTACCCACCCCTCCATCTCCAGTTTGCTCCCTGCCACTGCAAACAAACACCATTTAACAGTAGCGGGCCAGCTGTACCAACAACCTCAGGGGAGACCCCACCCGTGCCGATGCCGTCCCAGGGTCAGACTCACTTAGGTCCTCCCTCTCAGCCCCTTCCCTGGGGCCCAACAACCCAGACCCCTCCACCCCACCCAGGCCTCAGGAAGTTAATATCTGCTCCCATTACCCTCCTCTCCAAAGGCCACCCAGCAAAAGTCCAGCCTGTCCTTCCCCCGCCAAGGGGAGCAGTAGAGATGCTGGCTGAGCCCAAAAGCCCCCTGGAACTCTGACTGGATCCTTCCATCACTTGACATTTTCCAGACTGCTCTGTGCCCAATCCTGGAGGCCCGCAGGCAGAGGGCCTCAGCACCTCCCTCCTGAAGGAGGTGGGCTAATAGACCACAGGCAGCACAGAGAAGGGGAGACTGGGGGAAGTGCTGGGCTGGAAAGAAAAGAGAGGGTATTGCGGCAGCCAGGAGGTTGTCTAGGAACCTGAAATGGAGTTCTCCCTGAGGCTTGGCTGCCCCCCTCCCCCAAGGGAGCAGCCTCTGATGGGGGTTGGGGGGTACCTCTTCTTACGGAGAGGTAAGAGTCTGGGTGGTGAATGGTGAAGATACTAGGCTGGCTGACACCCTTGGGCTAACGCTGGATCTGGGAGGCCCCACATTGCTCAGAAGAGAGGAGAGGGGGACAGGGCCTCCTGAGCACAAGCAGGGCCTGGCTTGGCAGTGTAGGGGTTGTCCAGGGGCTTCTGCCCTTAGACACTGTGCTCACAAACTCCCTCAAAGTTCTCATCTCAGTGACTCCCAGGCTACTGGAGCTAGTGTAACAGCAGCACCAAGGCTGATGCTGTCTGGCCCCCTTATAGGTGCAAGGTGCCTGGATAGATTTTATTTCTAACCCTTAAATTGCCCTTCCAGGAGATGACGTCACCTCTCATTTCACAGACTTGGAATCTGGGCTCCCGAGAAGGGAAGGGGCCATTCCAAACTCCAGCCTCTGGAAGCCTGCTTGGTCCCCTCCCAGCAAGGCTTGGCATGAGCCCCAAGGGTAGGGCCTCAAACTGGACATCAGGGAGTTGCCTGAGGGGCTTCAGGGAATACAAGAAGCCCAGGGTGTGGGGTAGGGTTTCCATGAGGTCCTTGGTTCTTTAGAAATTTCAGAAAGCTGGTTTTCCTGGGAGAAAGAAGGGGGGGACACTTGGCAGGGGGCAGAAGAGAGGTCACAGGGCCTATCATCAGAATCCCCCCACCCACTTGGCCAGGCCCCCTATTGAGGGCTCCCATATTGGGGTTTGGCTCTTGGGGCTATAGAATTACTATGAGGTGTAAGTCCACATGGGTCTCCTTTATTCATCCTAGACCAAATATAAATCTCACATAGCCACATACCATTACTTTTCAAATCTGCGGAGCCACTGTTGTGATGAATAAATTACAAATCCATTTAGGGCTTAGCAGCTTTGGGCAGTTACTCCCCTCCCCCCAACAATAAACTAACAACTCCTATTTGACAGAGACCCTCTGGGCCTGCCTCCCCAGTGGTCTAGCTGTGCCCAATGCTAGAAAGGGAGCTTCCATTTTTACTGTGCCTTAGATGGACAGCCCCCAGCCCCCAGATCTACCTGGGTGGGGAGGATCCTGGCCAGCCCTGAAACACAGGGCTCTGTGACCAGGTGCATCCCACACTGCTCAGGAGGCAGGCCACAGGTCTGGAAGCCACTGGGGAGGCTTTCCTCAAAACAGAGAATGCATGCCTTTGGTTTCCAGCTGCAGCTTCATCTTGTATCTGAGTGGACAACTGGCTGGCTCCCCCAAACCCCAACAACCATAAACGTGGTGAGAGTTAAAGTGGGGGGTCAAATGTCATGGTCTGCCCTGCTCTTTGTGAACAGAATACTTTCTGCCTGTATTCTGTGCACTGGTTCTCTCTTCCCAGGCCCAGCCCGGCCCCTTCTAGCCTCACCTCTAACTGCACTAGACCCTTCCAGAATTCCCTCCCTCCTCCTGGCTTCCAGTCACTCAGCATCTGGGGGAGAGAGCCTCTTTCAGTTGTATATAGCTGACTTGGCCTGACTCCAGCACTGCCTTGTTCTGGAAACTTGCAAGAGAATCCCTCTTTTTTTTTTTTTTTTTTTTTTTTTTTTTTTGAGACAGAGCCTCAAGCTGTCCCCCTGGGTAGAGTGCCGTGGCATTACAGCTCACAGCAACCTCCAACTCCTGGGCTCAAGCAAGTCTCCCGCCTCCGCCTCCCAAGTAGCTGGGACCACAGGCGCCCGCCACAACGCCCGGCCATTTTTTGGTTGCAGCCGTCATTGTTGTTTGGCGGGTCCAGGCTGGGGATACGAACCCGCCACCCTAGGTGTACGCGGCTGGCGCCCTAGCTGGTTGAGCCACAGGCGCCGAGCCGAGAATCCCTCTTGGCAGGCCTCTTCCCCTCAGGAAAGGGAGGCTCTAGAGAGAGGTCAGATTCACAACAGCCAGGCCAACCAGCTGGGAGGGCTCACAGGCAGCTGGGGCTCTGGCTTCAGGGGCAAACGGGAGCCATCATCTGCCCTTACCCTGACTATAAATGGCTAGACATTATTGCTTGTTGCTAGGAGCTTGGGTTGGAATCCTAGCTCCTGCACACTCATCTGCTGGGTAACCTAGGGCAGTTTACTTAACATCTCTGTGCTTCATGAAATTAAACAGGAAAACGTGAAGGGTTAAGGCAGTGCCTGCGGCTCAAAGGAGTAGGGCGCTAGCCCCATATACCGGAGGTGGCGGGTTTAAACCCAGCCCTGGCCAAAAACTGCAACCTCCCGCCCCTGCAAAAAAAACCATGCAGGATTAATCATTACTAAATGCAATAATGTGCTTGGCAGTTGGTAAAGGCTCAACAAAGAATAGCACCTTCCAGTGTCATCCATTCGTGGGGCCAGGTCTAAGCAGTGTACTTTCTCTGCCTTCCAGGGAGCAGCCTGTACCTGAGGCAGAGCTAGGGAGGGCATTCGGGGACTGAGGGTTGATGTCTGTCCACAGAGCAGCAGCCTGTACTCCAAGGCTGGTAGGTCTTCCCACTTGAAGTCTTCATGTCCCTTAGTTACAGATTCTGCTGCAGTGGGTCAGGGTAGGGACTGTGGCTAGTTTGTGAACCACAACTGATGTGGCAACATCTCAGCACTGGAAGACTCTGGATCTGTTGCAGCTGGGCTCAGGAAGGGGATGTGGGTTCTGTCCTATCTAAGGAGGATCCTCCAGGAGCTCAGAACCAGGCTCTGTGTTCCCTGAGCCCCTTGTCTTAGATTTAGGTCCCTGTAATGGCCTGGACAACACTTGGGACTCTGCATTTGCTTCCTGGCAGCAACCCGCTTCACGCTGCTAAGCTTATAGTAACTTCTAGTCCTGGGCCTCAGTTTCCCCACTGGGTACAATGCGAAGCTGAGATAAGATGACCTTACCCTTTCCCCTGGGTGGTTACTTCCCCACACTCTTTTTCCCTTTCTAAAGCAGAAGACCTGAGCATCAACCTTAGGGACTGGGTCCCTAACCCAGTCTCATCCAACCAGAAATGACAACCAGTTCTTATTTGCACTCATTTACATCTGCATCCTCATTACCCATGAGGTGTTTTACTGAGGCCCAGAGAGGTGGAGCTTGTTGTCTGAGGTCATGCAGTTGGTAAGGGCACAGGGCTAGACTCAGGCCCCCAGACGTGCCTGGGCCTTTGCATACTGCACAAGGGAAGAGCCTATTTGGTTTTCTTGGCACAGCAGGTGTAGACTCAGCATACTGCATCTGCCTGGTTGGTAAGGGTGTGGGGAAGGAGGTGCCCAGTTTAGCTGACAATAGAAGGAGACAACTGGTACAACCTCTTTGGAGAGTTTTTTGGCAATATAGACTCAAATAAAAACTACGTGTGCCCTCTAACCTGGGCCCAAAGTCAACTACACAAATGTATCAAGTAGAGTGTCTTACAGTACTGGAGACCCCCTAACTTCCATCCAAGGGGGAAGAGGGCAGTGCATCTGGAGAATGCCACACAGCAGAGGACTAAAGAGAGGGAGATATTAGTGCATTAAAGCATCACGTATTATTTAGGAACAGTCTTCAAGTTGGCTGAAAAACAGCACAGTGTAGAAAGTAGGAACAGATGCCCCATTTGTATAAAAAGGAGGTTGTATTTGATTTTTTTTTTTTTTTTTTTTACCAAGAGCACTTGATTCCTCCTAAAAGAATAAAAAACTTGTATGAATAAATATCTGCCCTTTGGGCTATACAAGGCAGTTGAAGAAAGCACAGTATGGGGCTCAAATCATTGAAACTTTCCCCACCATCGGCTCTAGGCTAATGGGCTGACCTGAGTCTCCTCAGTTGGATAGGCCGAGGGCCAGCTGCCTCGGGGAGTCTGCTCCCCAGCATCATGTTGCAATGTATAAGACAGGGATCATCCCTCCATTTTACAGATGAGGAAACTGGGATCCTACGGGGAAGGAGAACAAAAACCTGTTTCCTCGTCCAGGTTCTCTGGGTGTGCAGCCTCAGGAGATGTAGTAACCAGGACTTGCTGAGGCCCTAGGCGGCATGGGTGCCTGCTGCAGCTGGGACCAAGTATAGTAGGCCCTAGAACAACAATAGGTGTGAATGCCAACAGTTCCATTTATATGCAGATTTTTGTCAATGGTTATGTAGAGTGTGCCTGCCTCTCCTACTAGACAGTGGGACCTGCCTTCCTCACGTTTGGGTGAAGGGTGTAAAGACCTTTGTGATGACCCACTTCCACTTAATCAGAATAAATGTTTTCTTTTATTATTTTCTTCTCTCTAGTTTACTTTAGTATAAAAATATAGTATATATAATACATATACAAAATACACTCAGCACAGTGGCTCCGCCTGTAATCCTAGCACTCTGTGAGGCTGAAGTGGGGTGGAATGCCTGAGCTCTGGAGTTCAAGATCAGCCTGTGCAAGAGCAAGACCTTGTCTCTAAAAACTAGCAGAGCATTGTGGCAGACGCCTGTAGTCCTAGCTACTGGAGAGTCTGAAGCAAGAGGATTACCTGAGCCCAGGAGTTGGAGGTTGCTGGGAGCTATGACACCATGGCACTCTACCAAGGACGACTAAGTAAAACTCTGTCTCAAAAAACAAGCATATGGAATATATGTTAAGCAACTGTTCTTATCAGCAAAACTTCTAGTCAACAGTAGGCTATTAGGAGTTAAGATTTTGGAGAGTCAAAGTTATATATGAATTTTCTTTTTGACTGCACAGGGGGGCTGGCACCCCTACCCCTCTCATAGTTCTATTTTACTCAAAAGCACTCCTGGTTTTACGTGTTGCCATACTTTCCATTCTATTTCTACCAACAATATGCTTTCCTTTAATCATCTAAAGAAAGCTACACATGTTATACAATTTAAAGGCAGAAGTCAGTCTGGGTTTCTGCAGCCTGGAGACTGAGCTGTGCAGGCGGGCCTGGTGGGGAGGCCTAGCTGTGGGGCCTCAGGCAGGTGATGAGGTGGTTCCCTTTCCACTGGTCTCCTTTGCAAAACAGAAGCAAGAGTTTGGCCCTCGGAGGGTGGCCCAAAGATTAAATCAGATAATATATGCACGCAAGCTGGGCAAAGGAGAATGCAATAAGTTAGCTGTTGTTTTTAAAAGGCAAATGTTTATATAATTTTTTATAACAGGGAAAGTTCAGGAAAATCCTTGCCTGGTTCTTGCTGGCTATGGAGCTGGGGCAGGAAGGCAGGAGCTCCTCAGAGTGACAGAAACCTGGCTCCAGCCCCCAGCCCCAGGAGCACCTAGTCACAGCCTGGGTGGGCGGACAGCATGTCCTGGCACAAAGGCCCAGCGGGCAGTGGCCAGAGCAGGGTCCAGCTGTCCGTGTTCGCCTGCTGGCATGCTGGGTGGAACAGACTTGGCTGACTGGCCAGAGGCCCCTGCAGCCCCAAGTCCATGGAAGGAAGATGAAAAAAAGCCTACGTTCCACCCTGGTCTAGAGCTGGCTTTTTCTAGACAACAGCCTCACGAGTCTTTGGAAAGAGCACCAAGTACACAACGCCCTCCCACTGAGTTGCTGTGTGACCTCAGGTGAGTCCCCACCTCTCCAGGCTTCTGCTTTCTCACCCATAAGACAGACATGATGTTAACTACCTGCTTCACAGCAGACAGCTGGTGAAAACATGAATATAGAAATGCTCTGTCATCATCAACTTCATGGCTAATTCTTGGCAGGCCCTATGTGCACTGACCCTATTCTAAGAAGGTGTCCTCAGGCCTGCACGGTGGCTCACGCCTGTAATCCTAGCACTCTGGGAGGCTAAGGCGGAGATTGCCTGCGCTTACCAGTTTGACACCAGCCTGAGCCAGACCAAGACCCCATCTCTAAAAACAGCCAGGCGTTGTGGCAGGCGCCTTAAATCCCAGCTACTTGGGAGGCTGAGGCAAGAGAATCACTTGAGCCCAAGAGTTTGAGGTTGCTGTGAGTGTGATGCCACACTCTACCGAGGGTGACAAAGTATAAGGCTCTGTCTTCACATTTTTGCCTAACTTACAGATGAGGCAACAGAGGCTCAGATGAGGCCCTTGTTCAAAGTCATGCAGCTTGCAAGTGGCAGAGTGCTATACTAGGTAGACAATTATTTACCAAATGTAATTATTAAATATGTAGTTACACAAATAAAGTATATTATATCATTTATAATTGTTAACTATATGTCTACTGTAAGTATTATTCATGGCTATGAAGTTGGTCCTAAGGTGTGGAAGTTTATCAGAGGCAGCTCTGGCCCAACTGTTAAGGCCTGAGCAGCATTGTGGCCCTATGGGAGGGTGTGGCCCTGAAGCTGGGGTAGAAGCTGCTTTCTTTTTTTTTTTTTTTT